ATGAGGCAATGCTTGCTTCAGTGGGGCTTTGGTGCTCACTGAGTCTGCCCCCTGAGTGTGTCCCTTATAGATCTGAGGAGTTGTAATCTGGATAGTCCCACTCTGACCACTGGGTACACTGGCTCTTGGATCTAAGGAGGTGCTAATCTAGGCTCTGCCTGAGGCTACCCAGCAGAAGCCAGCTGTAAAGCAATGCGAGTTGCCCTGGGGCCTTGGGCAGCTGCAGTTTGTTAAGTAATTTTCAGATTACAAAGGGCTGGGCCTTTCATATGCAAAAGCGTCCATGCACGGCTTGGGCAGGGCGGGGTCCCAGGGGATCAACTGGGAAGGCAAGCGAGCAGTATGGCTGCTCTCAGTCCTGTCCTCAGAGGCCCCAGCAATTGCTGTGTATGCCTCCGAGAGAAAGCTGTCCTCGAGTTCCGACGGATGCCAGATAGTCCCGTTTCTCCTGTATGAGTCTGGGTCCTCAGAGACTTGCCTGGAACTGGAGTTCAAAGAAGTCAGGAGCTTGAGACTCCCTCCCGATTGAAAAAGACACCATGTCCTCAGTTGCCAGCCCTTTCCATGTGTGCCACATCCTCAGTTGCCAACCCTTTCCACGTGCGCCTCCGTACCTCTGTACTTCTGCACCTCCCTCCTCTGAGTCTGTGTTTTTCTCTTTCCTTCTAGTTGTAGCATTTCCACTCAGCCAGCTTTCCTGTGGTTCTGGATGATGTCCGTTTCGTCTTTTAGTTGTATTTTTGAAGTGGTTGTTCAAGGCAGCAAACTCCGGTGTTTACCTATGCCGCCATCTTGGTTTCTCCATAATCTTGTATTTTAGCCACATGAGAAAGAAGAGCTGCTGATGTCCCCTCTGCCCATTCCAGGCCCATAGTGTTTCAAAGAATGTTCATTTAGCCCTAGTGGGTTTAGCTCAGTGAAAAGAGCTGAAGGGTCCCATGTTTGATTCTGGTCAAGAGCATGTATCTTGGTTTCAGGCTTGATCCCCAGCCCTGGTTGGGGTGTGTGCAAAGACAAACCAATCGATGTCTCTCTCTCTCGCTCTCTCTCTCTCCCCTTCCACTTTCTAAAATTCAATGGAAGAGATACCCTCAGATGAGGATTCAAAACAACAAAACAAAAAGAATGTTCATTTAGTTGTCTTCCATGATTCCTTTTCACATTCTGTACTGCCATGCATATTGCAAAGTGGGTGTTTGTTGAGTAAGACTTCCTCCACGTTCTGCGTGGAGTAGGATTCGGTATCTGAAAGAGGAGCCACACAACAAATGAGAGAAAAAGACACGAGATAATTTTGCAATATTGGGGGACCAGGCAGCAAGTCCCGAAGGACTTCCTCTCATGCTCAGGCCTCACCAAGCTTTTATTGATCTGGGATGCACCCATAGCACAGCCCTTAGGCAGGTGACCCCCTGCAACAGGCAGACTAGCCCATCAGCAAGGATTTACATAATAATAAATGGGGGAGCAGTTTCAGCTACCACTGTCTGGACAAACAGAGGTGGCGCCTAGCTCCGAGCTTTGCTAGGGCTTCAAAGGCACCCAGCCTTCGGGGGGTTTTGGGGAGTTCTCTGTCTATGCTTATCAGATAGTGAAAGCAATAAACAGTTTCCCACAGGTGTTAAAATAGAAATTCGCTTTCCTGAGGACAGAGGTGGCAGTCTACTGTGATTATGTGAGGTTGAGGCACTGTACTTCTTGAAAAGTATGTGTCAGCCCTGGCTGGTGTTGCCCAGTGAATAGAGCGCCAACCTGTAGACTAAAGGGTCCTGGGTTCAATTCAGGTCAAGGGCACGTATCTGGGCTGTGGCCTCAATTGCTGACCAAGCCGAGGAACCCCACCCGTGCATTAAAAAAAAAAAAGTATGTGTCAGAGCCAAAGAGGTATAACTTGTTGGGGTCCAACCCCAGCAGGTCCAGGGGTTCCCAAAGGTGTGGACAGAGTCGGTGATGAAACTCCTGTCTGGTTTGTGTATCCTTCTACCAGGCTGAGTCGGCAGAGGCTATTGTACAGGAGACCCGATGCTTTTTGGCTGCTATACAACTGTCTGCATTGTATTTCCAAAAAAATCTAACATA